TATATATATATATATATATATATATATAGAACATGACGTAATAACGTAAAATCAAGGGGCAAATGTAAAAAAAAGAGAGAAAAAAAACAAAAAACAGTGTTAAGTTAAGAAAAGATTAAGTTAATCAACCTTCGAACACATATTTCATACAGGGTTTTTTTTGTTCTGGTTTCTGACAGAACAATCCAGCTGCCCAAGCATCCACACTTCAGGTAGCAGCCAGCCCTCATGTGAACCTGTATATGTATTTATATCCCACAGCTACGTGGGTTGGAGGCGGGTTCATCGTGGGCACAGCTGAGGCCGTCTACAACCCGTCCATGGGACTGATCTGGGCAGTGATGCCAATAACAGCAACACTGTGTTTCATCGTTGGTAAGATTTCCTTTCTATATTGTTCTGTAAGAACAGCCATGATCAGTTTCATTCTGGACAGAAAAGACAAATTATTTATAGCTACACCAGGGGCCCCACCAGGCTGCAATGCTTATTACACTGAAAGGAAAAAGGACAACTTCATTATCCTGAGTGCTATCTCTACTCATTAGGCAGATGTCAGTGTCTGCTGCTTTAAAGGGGAATTGAAACAGCCAGCTGATTAAAAAAGGCCTGTAAATAATGACTCTTTACTGTTAATGTGACAGTAGGGAGAGGATAGCTTTTCAAAATCAAAATATAGAAGCTTAATTAGCATCAAGACAAGATATCTTAAAGCAAACAGCCAGAGGGGCATTCACTAATTTACCGCTGTAGAGTTGTAATAAAACCTCAGCAGAATAATAGTTAGTTAAAAACATTGATCAGCACGGTGATCTTTCAGGTCACCAGATGTCAACTGAGATCTTTAAAAGCCATGTGAGTAATGAACCCCTGGGAAACACAATGAAGCGTTCTCTGTGGGCTTCAGGAAACACGATGCTGGATGAACAACTTGGGACAGATTACAGCCCAGATCCTGGTGCGTGTTCACCCAGAGGATCAAAAAACAAATGGAGGGTTAAGCTGCAACAGGTTCAGCTTTATGTTTCAGACAGTCCAGAGACCAACAAGGTTGGTGAGGTGGAGACAAAGAGGATGATCATCCAAAGTGGTATAGAGATTTCTATTTAAAACTCTGTTTTAATGGTGTTTCACATAAGCCAGCTGGGTATGGCGACTTTTTAACATGCAGAGTAATTTATCATATATAAACATTTGTGTGGAATCTAACTGGATTTGTACTCACTAAGGTTTAATTATCCTTTATCCTGGTCACGACTTGTTTCTGCTTCTGGATGCACAGATCTTGGATCTAAAGGTGTAACTTGCAGCTGGAAGTGTCACTTTGTTTGAGCTAAAGAAGATTAGAACACCTAAGAATCCACAACAGAATATGTTGCCCATCGAGAAAAAATATCAGTTGTAGTGAAACCTGTTTAACTTAGGCTACGTTCACACTGCAGGCCTTGATGCTTAATTCAGATTTTTTTGCGAAATCAGGTTTTTTTTTATTTTTTCCGTTGCCGTTCATATTTCCAAATACACTCACCGGCCACTTTATTAGGTACACCTGTCCAACTGCTCGTTAACACTTAATTTCTAAGCAGCCAATCACGTGGCGGCAACTCAGTGCATTTAGGCATGTAGACATGGTCAAGACAATCTCCTGCAGTTCAAACCGAGCATCAGTATGGGGAAGAAAGGTGATTTGAGTGACTTTGAACGTGGCATGATTGTTGGTGCCAGAAGGGCTGACCAGCCCTTCTGGCACCAACAATCA